ACTGTGTTCATCAAATCAGACGTGTTATTCCAGCGGGAAGTGGGCGTGTTCTGTTCAGTGCAAGGCCCAGCGAGCCCCACCCTCAGCTCACCTGCAGCCCCTGTACAGGCCGGGCCCACGCACCAGCCCCCCAGGGTGCACGTCTGTCAGCAGGCGGGGCTCTGGGCACCAGCAGCCCCTTGCGCCCAGCCTGGCCCATGCACTCCCCAGGCACAGGGCTCTGCCCCGCAGTAACCCCTGTTAGAGGGCTGCTGGCCGGCTCACAGGCCTTCTGCAGGTGGCAGCCCGGGGCGTCCCATCAGGGGGGTTGCAGGAAGCTTGGGGGGTGTTTCCTGCGCTCCCAGGAGAGGAGGGGTGGCCGGGCAGGTTACCCACTGTGCTTAGCCCCGGGGGTGCCACCTTTTTCATTCTGACCAGACCCCCTGCTACAAAACGCCCCCGCCCGGCTCAGGCCATCGGAGCCTGGTGCCTAAGGCTGGCTCTGCTTGGCGGACCCTGAAACGGGCTCGCAGTGCCCGGGGTCGTGGGCCTGGGCCGGGAACCGCTCCCTGCTCTAGCCAGGCCCGAGGGCGGGATGCGTTCGTGTGCCCCATGCTGGCAAGAGCCGCTGGCCGAGCCCACGGCACGTAGCCCCCCAGGGGTCGCGGGACGGGTTCAGGGGCCACGTTAACGTGCTGCGGTCTGGCAGCCTGATGCCTGGGTGCTCCTCCGGCCCCAGGCCCTCACAGCCCTGAGCCAGGGCAGGGCCCTGGGCACAGGAGGAAGCTGGGGCTAAGAGAGCCAGTCCCAGGGCCCTGGCCTGCAGGCACCGCATCCCCATGGCTTCGGCTCAGGCGTCTCGCTCCTGGCATGGCCCCCGCTCAGCCCAGGGCTCCTGTGAAAGGAGCAGAAGGGGCCCGGGGGCGGGAGCCCCGAGTCACGCTCTGCCCTGCCCTGTGTGGGGCCCGGGCCTGTGGGGCACTCGGGGGAAGGGCTCTCTCAGCCTGGCCTCCCACTGTCATTGCCCCAGGATGAGGAAATGGCCCTGGCCGGGGGGGGGGCTTAGGGACCCAGCCCGCGGGCC